AATTTCCCAGCTAATATTCTAATAGAATACAAAATAATCTATTTTGAACCCTTTATTTTCATTAGGTAGTGTAGTCGTAATGTAAACGGGCTCTAACATTGCACGAACACATCGTAACTCCAAACCACGCAAATGTTTATTGTTATGCGAATACTAATTCCACGAAAACAATACGAGGAATGTTTCAATTGGTTTCAGGAGAACTTATGGCATGGACGAGTAAGTGTGTTTGCACGTCACACTCTCTGTATATTAACAGTATAACAGAATAATATTTCGTGGGATTATGTAAATATGAAGTCAGAATAAATGCAGTCTATAAAATGCTAACATATTCCTCTAAAAGCTTTAAAACTTTTCTGTTTTATTTCTATTCTTCTTTTAGATATTATTTTAAGTTTAATTTGTATAGAAAAAGTTGTTTTATCTAAATTTAAAATTGAAATGGCAAATGACTTTACATAATATGTATACGATTTGCTAAATACTATTATTTAATATAGAGGCAACTGTAGCCCAGTGGTAACATGCTTGCTTGGGAAACCGAGTAAGGCTGGTTCAAATCTCGAGTCTCTTACCGTCTGATATTTTCATGTGCGTATCTTTTTCAACATAATTACTTGTTAACCACTTGTCTTACGGTGAAAGCAAACATGAGGTAACCGGCATGTCTGAGAGAATCTAGTTAGTACCTAGTAGTAGACTATGGCCTGATCCCTCTTGCCATAAATAGAGGTCCGTGCCCAGCAATGGGCCCTTAAAAAAAGGGCTGAATGCATTATTTAATAACACTTGCTGTACAACAAGTCAACCAAAAACATGACAAAATAGGAGAAATGTAAATGTATGTTATGTTCCATTTTATTTATTTTTTATGCAATTTTAAATTTAGACGTAGTAAGAGAGCTTCAAGATTTCAGCGTTCTATCTAGAAAATTCTACAGTAAAAGTATTTTTTATATTTCTTATGTACGAATATAAATGCAACATTAAAACTTACAGCATTCATAAAAATGCGATTTTCTGCAACACTTTTCTAGTCATATCCGAATATCTCCGTATCTTTTATAACGCCAATATTTTTATTTAGTCTCCATTGCTCGTTACAAATAGTCAATATCAAAAATGAAGAAATAAATGAGCAATGTATTTGGTAGTGGTCAAGTTGACGAGCTCTCTTCATTTTGGAAGCGGTCTCGTAGTAGCGTTAGAGTTGTATGTTTAAATGAGTAGGTGTATTACATTTACAGAGAAGCTGCGGCGCACTGTTGTATGTATTATTCATTTATTATAATAACACGAAATATATGGATATCGATAACGATAATAGAAAACGTGTATAGTGTTTAATTCTATTTTAATACATGAAATATGATGGATACCATTGAGCTTATACAAGAAGGCAAGCTGTATTTACAGCGATATAAATTGAAATCAATTCCTTCTTGTAGCAAGTCCAATATTTTTGCCGTTATCTCTGATTGAACACCAAACGCTAATTAATTGAACTTTTGTAGCAAAAACAGGATGATAGATAAATTAACCGTAAGATTAAAAGCTTACTTGTCATCAATCTTCTTTTGATTTCAAGCGGTTCTTTTAGCTACTTTTTTCTGATTCCATGTTGAATTAATTGTTTTTCCTCATAATACTATATTTTCTTGTTATTTTCATTGTTTTACTTGGGAATGTTATTGTTAAATAAATTTCACAAGTGTTACGGTCTAATGATTTTGGTCTTTAAATATTAGCTTTTTAATATTAGTTTATCAATATATTTAATTTTTATAAAAAAGTAAATTATCATTAAGCCTAACCCCTATAATAATAATTAATGATGTTAAAAATTATAGGTTCATATGTTCTTCTGAATTAGCATTATAAAATATTGTAGTAGTTTCCCACAACTCTCGTGTATATTGATAAAGATAACCTATGTGTTACTCCAGGATATATGTACAGCATCAACTGGCTTCTTTTGCCTCTTGTAAGACCCACACAATCACCTGTGAGTGTATCGGTGGTATGTGTAAATGCTTTCTCAACAATAAAAAAACGGATATATATGTAGCATCGAGATTGTTCATGGGTCAAAAAGTTGTTGGAAATAGTTACTAAGACCGATTATTACTTTCATATACGTGTAGATTTATGTAAAGTATTTTATTCATAATATTTATAATAATAATTCAATCCTTTTTGGGGTACGGATCTCGCCTCAGTACAGGGCAGATCAGGCAGTAGTCTATAAAGCTAGCCAAATGCGGATTGGTGGACTTAGCATATCAAAAGAAAACTAGTAAAATTTTCTTGATATTTTATCTTTCACCTGATTAGCAAGTGTTGAAAATAATTCACGCATGAAAATCTTAGAGTTGTGAGACTCGAACCTTGTTCACATGTTATATAAGAGTTTAGAGAACCCATTGCAAAGAAGTTACCACTGCTTCAAGCGTTTTATAAAGGGAAAAATAATATTTTTTTTCTCAAACATACATATACATGAACAAACAGCGTCGGCGCTAAGTTTTTTAATATCCCCGCGATAAATCACGCCGCAGACGTCGCCGTCCCGCGCAGTATATCACCACTCTAATCAAACACACCTTTATTCCGTTTGTGCCACGAGTCATTGCAATATTAAATATATTATGTACGCGCCATAAATAATAACTGGACTATTATTGTAAATGTAAAAGTTTGTGTATGTCTGTATGTTACTCTTTCACGCTGCAATGTCTGGACAAATTTAGATAAGATTTAGTTTATAGATATACTGTGACTGGAGGAACATATTCTCTACTGAGTATGGCGAGGGTAAGTCGCTAGTTGTAATATATTTGGAAAAATAAACGGAAATATTTTAAAATTGCCACTTCATAAAAATTGTATGCTTGATGATAAAGTGATTAAAATATGTTATTTTTCAATAATGTTTATATGGCATATTTAATCTTGCAAACACTGCATTAAAATCCATGTAGTATTTTCCAGATACTAATAAATTTATTATATAAACTTGTACTTATTTCTTATCCCGTGGGATCGTTTCTCTACGGATGAAATTATGTACAGAGATAGATAAGTCTGGAATAGCACATTGGCTACTTTTTATCCCGGAAAGATGTACGGTTGCCGTGGGATAGATTTGTTTTTGTTTTTTTTAGAGGCGAACCCGAGCGAAACGGAAGTCTTGAAATAAAAAAATCCAGACAATTATTGTTCATCAGGATAATTAGACATGAGTTAGATAAAAAAAGTTGTTTGTTTTGGTTGTCGTGCAAACTACAATTAAAATAAATAAATAATATGTTGGGACATTAACACACAACACCATCTAGTTTCATGGTAAGTTACGGGGCCTGTGTTATGTATACCAGATAGTTGATACACTACACAACATATAACTTTGAATACATATATATTATAAATGTAAACACCCATGACTGGAGTACAAACATTCGTGCTCATCACACAAATGAATGCCCCCAGCGAAAATCGAACCCGCGACCGCTGGCACAGCAAATAGGGTCACTACAAACTGAGCCAAATATGTCGTCTACAATATAAAATCACAGATATAACTTGGATTTTGTTAACGCATAAATTAATTATAGTACAACAGCTCTGCTTTGAAAGTAATCCTTTCTAGTGTAGAAAGCTAGCGCCTTCTGCTGCGAGCGCGGAGCGAGGCTTGACCTATAACTTTTTGCTTGTCAGCTCTCATAATGAATTAAAGAAACGTAATTACAGCGGCTGGCGCCCTAATTAGTCATATTGTGAATGTAATTACATTACTACTTCTGCATATAATAGAAAACTGCACGATTCTACTTGCATAATCATTTATAATACCTAGTGCTTACGCGACTCGTGTTTGCTGTGTTTACTGGTATGTTTTTTTCACTTAAAGATATTTAATTCCCAACAAGAACAGAGTTCACTTAATATAAGGAAAATTTAATTAAAATAAAACTTATGCACATATCATACAGTAGTACTATTTATAGGTATATATACAAGAATTGCTCGTTTAAATATATTAAAATATATCTTTATTCTATTTTAATAAATGTATAAATTTTCTAACATTTTTGACGGTTATTTATAAAAACAGTGCGTAGATAAATACATATATATTGATCTGTCTTATATTTCTTTTTGTTTTATATTGTAAATTGTAATGTCTTATTTTCGTATTGTTTTCATGTATTTTATACGGTTTATTTATATTTAATAGGCGGCGAACTAAAGCAAGCATGAGTTCATAAAATTTATATTGAATATTATCAATATTCGTTCTTTTCACTCAATATTTTTTGCCATAGTGGCCATATATAATTTAATCTACCAATACAATATAATAAAATTCTAAGCATGTACATGGAAGATATTTGAAAAAACTATTATTTGGGATCTTTATTTAGGTAATAGAACCCAAAACTATGATATTTTGACTGTGCGTTTGTGCGCGCTAATCTCAGAAACGGCTTAAGCGATTTGAGTGTGGTTTTCACCAATGCATTGTGGCAAGATTCACTTAACATATTTGTTTTATTTGTATCAGCTCATAAGTAAAAAAGTTATGTCAATTTTAAAGAATCACCCAGGGGGGAACCCGAGCAAATCGCTAATAATAAATTATTTATATAGCTAAAATATATTTATATACAATGTTAAATTAATTCAAAAATAAATATTTTATATTTTTTTATTAACAAAATGTTTTCTTGTGCATCAGGCGAGTAAACTAAAAGAGATTTTATCCTTTTGAAGAAGTAGCTTGGCTTAAAAGCATTATTTATAACGTAGCTTTAATCTAATAAAGTTTTGATCGCTTTATAAAACTTTGCCGCCACTAACTCTAAGTCTAGGGCGAGCAATTTCCCTGCAAGTTTAACAACCTGTTTAACTGCGCGATAACTGACTCAACTTTAAAGATTCTAAGTTCAGATAAAATATTTAAAACACACCCTTAAAGTATATTGGAACGACGCGACATGAAGTTATCTTTACTGTTATCTGGACAGGTCATAAGTAGCCTTAACTTATTTAGTATTTGTATAAATGAATAAATATGTCAGGACATTAACACACACCACCATCTAGTTCCATGGTAAGCTACGAGGCTTGTGTTATTGATACCAGATAGTTGATACATTATACATATATAACTTTTAAATACATACATATTATAAATATAAACACCCATGACTGGAGTACAAACATTCGTGCTTATCACACAAATGAATGCCCCACCCGTACCCGGGACTCGAACCCGCGACCGCTGGCGCAGCAAGTAGGGTCACTATAGTCAAACGTGTCGTCATATTATTATATCGTATGTTATTTTAATAAAAGTAACTGTCTTCGAAGCCAACGATTGTAAAGGAACAGTTCGCTTTATACGCCTTGCAAATATATACATTTAATTTCACTCTCCTAGCCAGTGCGATCTCTCTATCCTTGTTCTCTACTCCATCCTTTTACAAACCCTATAACTAGTAAAAGTTCTAATAAAATCAGCTCAGCTTATCTCTAGATAGACTAACTGAAAAAAATTACAGGTATTTTAGGCTTTAGTTTATTAATATAAAAATAGTAATATACATTCAAAATGATTCGATATTTTACTATCCCACTTATTTTAAAATAACAGACTATTAATGCTACTTTATATATAAGTATATATTGCAAGCATAATATTATTTCAAAATACATTGGTTTAGGTTTGAAATAACAGTTCTCAGCATATAATTTGAATAATCTTGATTCGAAATAATTGGTGCTTTTGAAAGTAACTAGCCGTATGTTGAAGCTCAACCTATGTTTAAAGCACAGTAAAGTTTGCGAGCGACGTAACGACGTGTGGCCTCAGACGAGGCCGGCGTCAATTTTGCATTTGTTTATTGAGTGATGTGTTCCGTTACACACTGCCACTGGTATTTCTTATTTGGTTTTGTTGTTTGTTACTTTCTTTTTTCCAGACAAAACGCGATTTGGAAGCTTTTGTGGATGAACTAAATGCGCGGCCGCAGTGCCCCGTGGGTCTCAATACGCTGCTCATCCCTATCATCTGCCCACTAGGACTTGAACCAGCCTTACGTTTACCTCAACTGTGGGCATGTTCAAGGTAAATAATTAATACTAGTATTTATTCTCGACTTCGCACGCGTAGTTAATTTATATATAAATTTACCTTTCAACGTTATCTTTAAAAATCTTTAATAATAAAATATATTATTATATTCTTTATATTACCCGTACATAATGGTCATCATTAAGAGGAAAATGTAGTCGTGATATCCACTGTCCAACATATAATATATCAATTGCGAAAAATGAGAGTTCAGTACATAGGTACATTTCATTTATATAAGTACTAGCGACTCACCCTCGCTCCGTTCGGGTTCGTCCCTACTCACGTTTTAACGTTTAGCATAGATTTCTCAGAGATGAGATATTTTCCCGCAGTAAAAAGTATCCTATAATATTATGTTGAGTCGGATAACTAGCTATCATCATTGATTTTAAACTTAAATTAAATTTAATGAATCTCAAATTAAACATTTACAAAACTACAAATGTTTAAATCTTAGCTTTCCTGCAGTCATTTTTGGTTAGTTAACAAACTAATTAACCTTAGGAATGACCAAATGGCCAAAAAAAATTTTGTAATCGGATGGCTAATTTTAAGTACCTATTTTCCACCTCGCTATCTTTGAAGACCAATTTTATCCAAAGTGGCCTATTAAGTACTAATTTTTTTAATAATTATGAAAGTTGAGAGTCTGGAAAAGTTTTAAGACTACTTAGGAACCATGACGTCACCTGTTTAAATTTTTAATTTAAAGTTGAAAATTTAAGTCATAATTCACCGAATGTAAATTTTTCACTTTACACCAACATTTTCATAATCTCTATCAAAGTTACGAAGCTGATTATTTTAAGCGTAAAAGTAAAACTCATGAAGATTCAGTTGCAAAAAAAACTCGAAAAAGTATTCTACGTTTTTTTAGAACTTTTTTAAGTTGTTCAGTTTGAAAATTATCAAAAATTCTTTTTTTCAGCAAACGTTATCAGGCCGACAATTTGCGTCGTAAAGTAATCTGTAACTAAAACTGCAGTCAAAAATCTAGACTAAAAATCAAACCAATGGATATTTTCTACGAGATTTCCTTTGCCTAAATACATGAAAGCTAAAAGTGACGAGTTTTCAATTGACACGCTTTTAGAGAGCTGTCGAAATGCTCTCATTCACTGACGCGATTTATTCATTGCAAATGGATACAGAGCGATAATGGGTTATAGAGGCCCGCTACACCTCTATACGGCCCTGTTTGAATACGTCGTGCTCGTGTTTATAGCCGTCCTTATACGTTGTGTGCCTTTACTTTTTACCTTTACATTACTTTATTTAATTATAGATATATTAAAACTGAATTATGTATATATATACATATATAAACATATATATATATATATATATATATATATATTAAAGCTTACTTAACTATGTTTATAAAAATAAATGTGAATTTAAAAATGTATATAATCAACAAGCCATGACTATGTTGAGTTGTCAATGCGAGCTATATCCTGCTCCTGAATAGCAATGCCGATTTATTGGGCAAAAATTTAACTAAGTGTCCTTCTTATTACCGTATCGTTTCTAGAGTCTGGCTATCACCAGTAGAGGCGATAAGTCGTGGTGTAAAATGGTTTTAGTTTGATTCTATAATTCAAGGGTTTCTTCTGCAAAAGGTAGAAATATATAATTTTGAAGAACGCGTATTTATGTTACTTCAATTGTTCAGTCCTTTCTGCCGCAGCTCCCATATTAGACGCCATCTCCTTGACATAGAACAGGGCCAATGTGCCAACGCATCTATCGTCTCACAATAGTGCCAGTCCCTTTCCCCAAGCAACCAGTATCGAACCGTCAGACCTCTACCATGATTTTGACTTATTCGTTACGAAACCCGATGACATACCCGTGAGAGCCCCGACGATGCGTCGTGCCCGATGATGTTATTTAGAGTTATTAGGAAATAACAAAAAGTCTACATGAACTTCTTGCGTGAGACAGTCCATGGAATCCATAAGAATCAACTGCAGTGTACTGCTGTGTACTCACACGGAGATCTAAAGCCAAAGCGTCTATCTAGATATATAGTGTATGATCTATAGGGCATGCAGCCAATCATCCTGTTTTTTAGCGAATGATCCTAAATGTCTGGCACGGTTTATATCACTTGTGGTACTTTGAGGGATATTTTATAGTGTGTTCAGAAGCGAGAAAATCTGGAAGTGAAATTTGTGTTGTATTGAAATTCGTATTTGTTACGCAGATGTCACCAGTTCTAATATGTAAGGGTAACATCAATTTTGTCGATAACGCCAGGAAATTTCCAAATTTTGCTTGAACATTCACTTTGGAACATAAAAACCGTATTTAAGGATGTTACAACCATCGTTAGTATTTACAGAGCCCAATTTGTTAAAATTTGCTGAAATATAATGAAATTGGTAAAAACTGTTAATATTATGATATGACACTTTGATAATATTACATTTTATATTTATACTAGCGATTCACCCTTGCTCCGCTAGGCTTCGTCCTTAGTTACGTTTTAACGGTTAGTATAGATTTCTTAGTGATGAAATATTTTCCCGCAGTAAAAAGTATCCTATAAGTTGAACCGGATAACCAGCTATAATCATACCAAATTTCATAAAAATCTGTCCAGTGGGTTTATCGCAATGCGTTCCCAGATAGACAGACAGACCGACTGACAAACATTCTAAAAACTATAGATTCGGTCTCTGTATCGGTAATAATGACTATTTCAACAAATTAAAAACTAGCTTTTATTGAAATGCTTCTATTTAAAAATTCTAATAAATTAAATTAAAAATTTTAAACAATCCTGACCGATTTTCATCAAACATAGCTAAGAACACTCCCGACATCCTTCAAACAAAAAAATAAATAAAATCAAAATTGATTCATCCGTTCGGGAGCTACGATGCCACAGACAGACACGTCAAACTTATAATAAACTTTAAATTAAATCAAACCCAACACCTTACACATTTACGTTAGACAATTTATATGATATACAATACATCGCTTGTCGCGAGATTTACCTGTGTAGATAAACAAGAATATAATATTTAAAAAAAAAATAACCGACTGCATAAAAACTAACTAAAAAGTTGAAAACAAGTTGACAAAGAAATAAAGAATTACGTTAAAGATGCAATATCTTCAGTGCAAAGGATGCACAAAAACACAACCTTTTTTAATTTATTTTTTATTATTTGCACGACAAAATCAATAGAAATAGTGAACTGATACTAAAAAATTTTTTGTAACAGAAAGTTACATTAGCCTCGAGCAACACTGGCTATCTTTTATAAACATAAAATATATTATACTACAAATTTTACTGGGAAAAATAAGATACAATAAATTACCATAATATTTTTATATCATGATGATACATTGAGTTTAGTCAGGAAGACCGTCTTTCAGTAAAGCCACGTTTAGCAGCCAATATACATAGGTATATGTATGTACGCGGAGATGCATCTCTACTGCAGCGGTAATGGCGCAGTGCACGATAGCCCTGATACTGCTGTAGCGAGTGATTTATGAGGAACCTAAAAGAATGCATTTGACGCTCCACTGCATGTACGTTGTAGGTTTTTATGTCTAAAAATATTTTTAACAGTGATATGGGACGCAATTTTCACCTAAGTAATTAAAATTGTAAATTTGATGGTAAAATGGTAGCTGGTTATCCGGGTCCACATATATGATACTTTTTACTGCGGGAAAATATCTCATCTCTGAGAAATCTATACTAACCGTTAAAACGTAACTAGGGACGAACCCGAGCGGAGCGAGGATGAGTCACTAGTATTAATATATCTGTCCAAGAACATATAATAATTATTATCTCACGATTAAAGCGTAAATTGTGTACATGCCTAAAATCTTGACGAGATCTACGTTAAAGTAAAACTTGTTAGATATATACTTATAACAAGTTTTACTTTAACATCACATTCTACTTGGTCACTTTAACGCATTAGTCTCCTCACTCGAAATCCCAATAATCTATTTATCTGTACTTTTCTACCTTTACTATGAATGGGAATTTTAAATCATCCTTACATATATGTATTATTGTGTTTTACACACCTTATTTCGTAAATCTATGTCTAGAAATAAGGACGTCATATAGAAGTTATTGAGACAAATCGATTTTTTACCGTCGATATTATATGTAAAAAACTTACATAAATTTTATATGAGAATATAGTGGTATGAAATGTAATGAAATAAACTTTATTAAATTAGACTTATTACAAGCACTTTCGAATCGTCAATTTAATTCAAGCGTCAGTGTAGTCAGTCCGTAAGGAAGCTACCACCTGGCACCGGCTAACCGTATCCATAGCATAGTAAACATAGCACCGGGCACCGGCATGACTAAGTAACTTAACGCTCCGATATTATGCCATTCACAATCATTTCCCAGTTTTCTATTAGCGATAACTATTTTAGACTTCGTCAAGTTGTATAAAGTAGACACTTTCCATCTGTGTTGGCCCTTTTTTGGGTCTTATGATTTGTTCAGCATTTTTTGCGCCGAACTGCGAACTGGTAATCCGTCGCGACACCTTCTGTTCAATGTTTTTGTAACGAGATTTTTCGCATGCTTCTAGAGAAAAACCTTTCCACCGCCCACAGTGCGGCGCGAGGTCTAAATTGATTTATGTCACTGTTTTTTAAAATGATTTTTGACGGGAAATCTTGAACAATGTTCTTATTATCCGACTTCCAAAAAGGAGAAGGTTCTATGTTCGTCTCGATGTATGCTATTTTTTTCAATCTTATCCTTTTTATATTAAAATAGATATACATCTGTATATTATTTGTTTTCACTTTTAAATTGTACAGAATAAGTCAGTTGGCGTCTATTTAGATTCACATTCATACAGTTCTATTCTTATACAATTCGACCATCTCAAACAACGTCACCAGATTCAACAGTCGCTATCATATTATGTAATTTCCACTAATCCAAAACTAATATTGCTAATTATAATTTCACAAACGTGTAATTACGTGTTAATGTGAGATAATTCGCTGTTACTAACAAATGACATTAAAACGCGTGACTAATTACAAAGTGCTAAATAAATTATCTTGCTTAATTAAATAAAGACTTTGTTTTTGTTTGGTATAAATGTAAGTTTAAAGTTTGGGAGAATCTTAAAGTTAGCTAGGGTTGTCAGAAATTAAATAATTTTAGTTGAGAAACTCATATTTTACTTATCAAAGTTTAGATTTTAAGCCAATTTTTGCTTCATCTGAACAAATCAGCCAGCACAGTATATAATGAGGTTATTTTTACATATACATACTATCTCTTTTTTATCATATTTACTTTAAAATCGTGTTATTAGCGAAATACTGGTTGGTGGTGGTGTGGGGTGTGTGTGGTGTTCTTTAAAACTAGGACATTTATTAAAAAATATTTTAATCTCAAAAAATCGTTGAGGTACATACTCTTATTATATTAGTATATATACAGTAAGCTAATTCGAATGCTGGGAACTGAAGCAAGCATGTGGGAATATGTGCCCACTGACCCCTCTCGAGGCGTCATCGCGCATCGTCGACCAGACAAGCTGTCGCTGTATGAGAGCGTTGGTATTTTTACAAGTGATAATATTCATATCAACCGCAAACTGGCGTAAAATAGCGCTACACTCGAATTTCCTCATTTAAATACATGATTCGTTGCTTTTTGCCGGTATTGAAAATCAGTGTACCATTTTTATACTAATATTTTGTTGGTATTTTGAAGGAATAACAATAAATAAATACGTAATGCAATAGCGGTTCATGGTCACTAGACATTTTCTTAGCTAAGTCAATTTTGCTAGTTGATACATTGTTTACATTATAAAAGTTACACATGTCATTCCATAATTATTTTTATTTACCGATAACAAAAAGCAAAGGTGTGCTAATTGAGTGCAATTCGCTTTATATCGTATATTTTTAACTGTAGTGATAGTTTATAGTTAGTCGGCTAATCGGCCAATGCGGATCTACATTCATGTTTTAAGCTACGAGTTAAAATATTTATCGCATAATCTCGAAATGGTATCTGATTCTCGAGAGAGCATCATTCATTTTAAAGCGGAGTCTGTGTCATTAAAGCTTTTAGTTTAATACCGCAATATTATTTGCCGCGCCAGCAGAGAGCGCGCTGTGGACGGGAGCATACTAGCATCGGCTCCTACTTCGCATGATAAAGAGCATTCATATGAATCATTATTGATATTGTGTAGCATTAGTTTCCTTTTACGGCTCTATTTTCTGGTTATTATAAAATACTAGCCTCCCTAGATGATATTTCAGGCAGATTATTGCAATAACTTGATTCCTCATACAAACTTTCATCCCCATTTTCACCTCCCTAAGGGATGACTTCCGGGATAAATAGTATCCTATTTCATTCCCAGGGTCTCAAACTATCTTCTTACCAAATTTTATCTAAATCAGTTCAATAGACCCAGAGATTACCCTCTACAACTTACCTCTTTATAATAATAGTATAGATAATATAGCCTATATGTTACTCTTGGATAATATACTATTGGATAAATATTTGTGTAGATATTCAGAATTTGTTCAATATATTAGTTCAATTCAGATATTATTCGAAACATAGCTACCGTAGTGTATAATATGTTATACATGCAAAGAAACAAAATTCTGTATATAGAAGGTAACATTATAGAACTATAACACCTTAAAAATGTACATTAAAGCAATAATAATCAACATAATATTAGACTTAATACCCGTAATATTTCTCTACACATACATAAGTCGAGTAGAATAGGTAATAGTAGGGATGTGAAAAGTAAAATCACAGATTTATTCTGACATGACAATTCTACGTGTCGTGTATGAAACGTTAAGTTTCTAGATTCATTCTCGCTTCTGGAATATTATCTAGCAAAAAGTCGGACGTGTATGTCAAATCGCATTCACTCAATCACATTGTAAATGCTCGGGGCGGCTCGGGCGGTTTGGGCGGTTTGGGCGGCTTGGGCGGCTTGGGCGGCGAGAGCGGCGCACTCTCTAGATTGTTTTTGTAAAAGATGCAAACTTACACCCGGCAGAGCGGCGTGGATCACGTTTTTGACATAGAAAGGAAATATTTTATGACCACCTAATGGCACTCAGTTCGATGGATATTTCTGAATATTTTCATAGAAAATTTCATATATTCGTATATACATGTGTGTACAAATGTTTACGTTGGCCACATAGATATTGTATCATTTAATAATTATTTTTCTGATATTTAAAAGCAAAATAAAAAGTAAGATAACAAAGTTCCCGTTTATGTGAATAACTCAATAAGCCGCAAACATCCCCTTTACATATTACTTGACATTTTGATGTATCGCATCATACATCCCGCCATCTGTAGATTAAAGTGATAAACACATGCCACAGGCGTGAACTACACTACCACGTATGCACTATGTACGTATTATATACAATAGTGGGTGCGTTGACTAGAAATGAAAGAATTGTCTAAACAATGAATCTCGTCTCATCTATATCAATGGTAAACTTTTCTCTTTAATACGACATATTTTAGAATTTATATGGCCCTTTCGCTTTGTTTGTATTAAAAAAACTCTATATAACCCCACACTACGTTACGTTCCTGAATTTTTTTTTGACTTCGAGCGAAAACAAAAATGTTTTGGTCGAATTTCAAGAAATATTTTATTGGGTATAGAATGTGCTCGAAGCACTTCACAGTTCTCCACGACTACTGACGTCATAAACCCACTCATATTTTACAAGCGCTGTAACAATACATAATGAAAATGTTAATGCAACCTCGAATATTCACACATAAATAAGCGGTTAAGTAAATGGCGGGAACATTTCTTGGCTCCGACGCCGCATTCCTTCGCAATGTATGTCGTCGCTCCCTTTAGAAGCATGCACTGTCTTATTTATTCTTCCTGCACAATACCCCTCATAATCTCACTAGTTGTTTCATCTAACTTCGCTTTGATACAATTAAACTTTTATATATATATGTACTAGCGACTCGGCTACGTTCCACTTGGGTTCGTCCCTAGTTACGTTTTAAAGTTTACTCGTAGTATAGATTTCTCAGAGATGAGAAATTTTCTCGCAGTAAAAAGTATTCTATATGTTGATCCGGATAGCCAGCTATCATCATACCAAATTTCATCAAAATCTGTCCAGTGGTTTTCTCGTGATGCGTTCCCAGACAGACAGACGGACAAAAAAATAAAAACTATCACCAGTGCATAGATATATATTATGTAGATGTACAATCGAACTTGTATAAGAAAAGGTGAAAGTTTGTATGCGTGGGAATGTTTGTTACTTTTTCACGCTGAACAAATTTGGATATACATTGACACACAAATAGAATATAACAAGGACTAACACATGGTACTCGTATGTGGTCATGTTAAATACCTAGGGATGTGCCTGAGCGGAACCAGGGTAAGTCGCAAGTATTATATTAGATTTACGCTGTGTCGCAGTGGCGCAGCGGCCGAAGGTCGGGTCAATCAGGTACTAAGCTTATGTCATCTGTCCATCGGGAAGCCCCTCAGCCCTACGTTCGCTGGGCTTTATCTTTCCTTATTTTTTAGAGTATCGGGTATAGAAAATTTAAAAGCGAAAAAAACCGACTGTGTAAAAAACCATGAGACGCACTGGGCAGGTGTACCAGACGTGGTACTTTTCTTAAGTATTTTAGTACTTTTAATATAGAAGAAAAAAAAACAACCTCTTTAATTAATTATCCTAAATTCCAGGGTCGGAAAAGTCGTGAGAATTTTTAGTCGGAAGATATCTGGCTTTATCGTTTAGGAAGAGATTAGGTTGGAAAGACAACCTGTCGGGTCGTCACGTGATGGAAGTATAAGTGGTCTTGCGTTACCAGATTAAAAAGGCGCAGGTTCCATTTTAAAATACTTCATAAGAAAAACGACTTACATCTGGCTATACGTAGATAATATGATCGTAGAAATCGAGATCATTACGATTTCAATTCGCACTTTTCATAATTCAGGTTTACAAAATAGTATATTATTTGCGTGTAATTGATTTATAAATTCGGATAGTAGAAAAGAAATGAAAAGCTTTTAAATTGTAAACGTTTCAATGTATTGCCCCCGCCACGAAACTTTTATTAAAGCTCAATATTTTTATCCACGAGCCCGATACTATTCCCTTGTCATTTAGAAATTGACATCAAATAAAAGTAGAATACAATTCAAAGCTAACAATAACTTACTAAAAGAAAACAAATAAAGTATAACAAAACAAAATTTTCTTTTCCTTTCTATCTACCGGTATATAAAGCGGTGGACTTTTGAAGAGTGTTAAGCGTGTTTTCCGGAACTTGCAGAGGGTCAGTATTAACACAGTCTGCGATAAAATATATAAATAATAATATTTAATTAGACTTATGAAACTACTATCATAAATTCACTCGTGTGTATATAGAGTGTGTAGGTTTGTTCCTCGTTCACGCTAAAATGACTGCACGGGTTTGGATGTACACAGATATACTATGACCTGAAGAAACACATAGGCTATTATTAGATTATATTATATTAGGGACGTAAGTCGTCAGTCGCTAGTCTATCTTTACGTATAATAAAATTCTAGTTTTACCTAATTAGTTTGATCTATACATTAAATGTTTTTTGAAAAATCTTATTGAAATAGTCCTTTTTATCGATACAGAGGCCGAATCTATAGTTTTTATAATTTTTGTCTGTCTGTCTGTCTGTCTGTGACCGAATGACGAAAAACCCACTGGACAGATTTTGATGAAATTTGGTATGATGATATCTTGTTATCCGGGTCAACGTATAGGATATTTTTAATGCAGGAAAATATGTCATCTTTGAGAAATATATACTAAACGTTAATACGTAACTAGAGACGAACAAAGACGGATCGTGGGGAGCCCCTAGTTCAATTATAATTAGCATTCAAGATAATCTAATGAGTTCATAAGGAAGTTAATACTAGACCGGAATCTAGTTCTAATAAAATCAAACGAGAAAATTAATACTATGTTGCTATGCTATTTACATTTTTTACACTTTTGTTTACTAGAAATTCTTGACCAGAATAATATACTGTTAGTGAAATATGTTTCGGTGACGTAGTATGTCTAACTTTGGTGGTCTAAAAGGATCTAGTGTGAAAAGTAAAGTTACTAAGTGTGCCATAATAAACAGATAATTGTGATGAATCATCATGATTATTGATCATGACTCAAATAGTTGTAGGCTATTAAAAACATGCTTACTTTGAACACAGAGTGAACTGTAAAGGGGGTTAAATCTCTAAACGGTTTCATATTTCTGAGGTTTACATGTTACTTGCTAAAACAGTGGAAGAGAACAGTACAAGAAAACGTGCATATTTAAGAAAATTACTCACCCAACACCTACCCACATTTGGCGAGACTGGTGTTATAATCCCCTCGCATAGAGGATCGGATCTCGCTTTGGGTATTATAACGAAGAACTAAATATTTATTATCTATACATATAATAAAACTATGACTAATGAATATTCAGATGCAATACAATTAAATATAGATAATTTAGGAAAGCTAACAGCGTTCAACTTTTTGTTTTCAATTTCATTGCTG